GAATTAATGATGCAACACCCAGGAGCAAATCATATCCTTGTGTGAGGGCCTGACACACACACAGTGTTTAGAACTATGTATTCATCATATATTCCACATACACATGGATATCCAGGTATTTTGCAAAAAGTTCTCATTTAATTCCAATATACTATATAATACTTTACTCCTTCCTTTTGACCAGTTGGTACGGAAAGCAAGTTCTGTTTTGCAGAGGGCTTTCACCTCGGGCCACTGCTCAGTGTGTCATGTGTCTGGTTAGGCTCTTCACCTCAGAGGAAGGCTGCAGTTCCTGGGCTACTGGGCCCCGGCAGGTCTGACACAGCCTGTGCCCTGTGACCACGTGCCCAGATGCTGAAGCTTGTTCCTGGCTCAGCAGTCTGGAAAGAGTACCACCACCTGTTCTTTCTTCTCCAGAATCAGACCGGAGGGTGGGGGCCAGCGGAAGCAGGTGTGAGACCGTCCGCTGGGGCAACAGGAAGCTGCCATTGATGCTTCTCCTATGATATGTCACAAGCTCATGGCTGAAAGTTGCAAAGAGAAGAGAGTGTGTCCAGCCATCTGGGATGAGGCACTGGCACCTTTGTGTTCCTAGGTAGCAAAGGAGGACTGTGTTACTGGTGTGGGCAGCCACTTGGATATTAAAAAACCCAGTAAATACAGCTTGGATTTGAAGTGTTTCTTATTTAAAAACCAATAAATAAAGCTTGCATTTGAAGTGTTTCTGTTTCTGCATTTTTCTAGGTGCCAGGGGGAAACCCACACTACTCACACCTCAAGTGAAGACACCTTTTCTTTGGTGAAGATTTTTTTTTTTCGAGATGGAGTCTCGCTCTGTTGCCCAGGCTGGAGTGTAATGGCCCGATCTCAGCTCACTGCAAATTCTGTCTCCCAGGTTCAAGTAATTCTCCTGCCTCAGCCTCCCCAATAGCTGAGATGACATGTGTGAGCCACCACACCTAGCTAATTTTTGTAGTTTTAGTAGAGACAGGCTTTCACCATGTTGGCCAGACTGGTCTCGAACTCCTGACCTCAAGTGATCTGCCCACCTCAGCCTCCCAAAGTGCTGGGATTACAGTCGTGAACCACCACACCTGGCCTTGCTGAGGCTTTTGAATGCTAAAGTTGCCATGGGCTCAGGCCATTTAGAAGTGAGTTCCATGGTAACACATGGCTGACACCTTCTGAGGCAGGGCAGGGGGCCACCCTGCAGGGCAGGACTTGGGGTTGACCCGAGACATGCACAGTTCTCACTCCCCTCAGTGTTTTAGGAGTCATGAAATAGCAATTCTCTGAGAGGTGTGTGAGTTTTGCGTGAAAAGACCCAGATTTGGATAATTAAATGAAACTGCCTAGGGAAAGTACCTGGAGTATAATGGATGCTTGAAAAGAAAGGAAATTCATTTTTTCCCCTGGTTTTTGTTTATTATACATTTTTCATCACAACGAAAGAAAAAAAAAAGATGATTTGCCCAGAGTCCCACCACGTGCTCTGTCCCTTCCACGTGTGCAGAAATAGTTTTGACCAGGTGGTAATTGCAGCTTTCATGATTCTGCCTTCATTCTCCGCAGTGTTTTCCCATGTTGCCACATAACACTCTTGATTATTTTAACAGCCATATGATATTTTGTGCATCAGCTCTTCAGGAGCACAAGAGCAGTTAGTGAGACAAAGGCATTTTTCCTAGACCACGAGTCTATATTTTTATTTGTGGGATTTTTCCCGGCACAGCGAAGGCCAGATCAGGACATCTAGAATGAGGAACCTGGAGCTGTCTTCATGGGTGCGGACAAGAACCACAGCATTTCCCCAGTCCTGAGAGCCATCCCTGGGCGTGGCCTCTTGCACCAGACACTGTGTGGGAAGTCACCTACCATGCAGGCACATAGTGACCAATTGGCAGCCCCATGAGGCTGACCCTGTGGGAGCGGGGTGCAGGCTGCCTGCCATACTGCTGGTTTTTTTTTTTTGAGACAAGGTCTTACTCTGTCACCTAGGCTGGAGTGCAGTGGCACGATCTCGGCTCACTACAACCTCTGCCTCCCGTGTCCAAGTGATTCTCCTGCCTCAGCCTCCCGAGTAGCTGGGATCACAGGCTCATGTCACCAGGCCTGGCTAAGTTTCTGTATTTTTAGTAGAGGCAGGGTTTCTCAGTGTTAGCCAGGATGGTCTCAATCTCCTGACCTCATAATCCACCCGCCTCGGCCTCCCAAAGTGCTGGGATTACTGGCGTGAGCCACCATGCCCAGCCCATACTGCTGGTTCTTGCCCAAAACAAGTCTCAAGAGCACACCAGAGACTTGGACCCACAGGAGATCCTCAGCTTGACAGACCTGTGCTCCGGGTGTGTAAGAACAAGAGGTCTAGGCCAGATGCCATGGCTCACACCTGTAATCTCAGCCTGGCCAACATGGTGAAACCCTGTCTCTACTAAAAATACAAAAATTAGTCGGGTGTGGTGGTGCACACTTGTAATCCCAGCTACTCTGGAGGTTGAGGCAGGAGAATCATTTGAACCCGGGAGGCAGTTTGCAGTGAGCTGAGATCTCACCACTGCACTCCAGCCTGGACGACAGAATGAGACTCCATGTCAAGGGGAAAAAACAAAAACAAAAGAACAAAGGGTCTGGAGGGTCTTTGGTCCATATGCTCTGGGTGGTTTGTGGTGTCCTGAGTTTGCAGGAATTTCTCTGTCCCTCTGTGAGATGGGCGTGTGGGAGTGTAAAAATCAGCCACTGTTCACCATGCATTGGGAGCATCCCAGGCAGGGAGAGGTTTGTGGGTCAGGGCTTGGGGAGAGAGAGGTGCCCATCAAAGAAGGGGAAAAGCGATCAATTGCTGGTTTCTATCCATGTCTACCTCCTGTCAGGAGCTACAAGGGCAGAGAGTAGAGAAGCACCAGCAAAGAACTGGCTGGGACCCAGGAAGGACAGGGTGGGAAGAATCCCATGGCCATAGGAGAACATTTATTAAAAGCAAAAAGGTTGCAATATGTTGCAGGATGAGAAAAACACACCTAAAACAACAGGCATGGAAGAGTCTGATTACAAAATAAAAAGCACATGTAAGTCCTGGAGTAGTAGAATGGTACCAGCTGGCGCGAACAGAGCATCGAGCGGGAGCTGGGCCGTACGTGCGTTTGTGTCCCATGAAATCCTCTAGCAATGCAGAAGTAGGCCCCGCTAGAAGATCTCCACTTTACAGCTGAGGGTCACGAGGCCCCTCGCTCAAGGATTACAGGCACCCACCACCATACCCGGCTAATTTTTTTATTTTTTATTTTAGAAACAAGGTTTCACCCTGCTGGTCAGACTGGTCTTGATCTCCTGACCTCAAATGATCCACAAGCTTCAGCCTCCCAAAATGCTGGGATTGCAGGTGTGAGCCATTGCTCCAGGTCTTCATTGCATTTCTTTTTAATTTCATAAGTAACATAAAATGCATTACCATTACATATGTATATATTCTTATATATGCATATATTTTATGTATGTATATATGTAACTATATATATATTCACATACATAGATACACAGAGTAAGAGCAAAGATTTGAGTTTCTCACCTCCTCCACTTCTATCAATTCCCTCTCAGAGGGAACCGTAGGGATGTTTGTGCCTCTTTGGGCGTTTCCCCAGAGTCCAGATGCTTGGTGAAGTGGTGGGAGTGAGGATGAATGGACGCAGGGACACTATGAGGCTCCAGGCTCGGAGACTAGGTGGGATAGCGCTGGCCTCCTCTGAGAGCTGCGGCTTCACGCCCTCCTCCTGACTGGCTGCCCCTGCGCTCAAGGTAGGAGTCTCCCCAGGGCCCATTCGCCTTTCTCACTTATCACAAGTGTGCCCCAAGGGCTCCTTGCCTTCTACAGGTAAAGGCAGGACATTTATCTCCCCTGTATCTCTGTTCCTTTGGCTGAACATGCCACGACAATAGTTCAGTACTTTAACCTTACAGGCTTGTGACAAGAATTAGACAAGTAGCCCAGGCACGGTTGCTCACGCCTGTAATCCCAGCACTTTGGGAGGTCGAGGCAGGCAGATCACTTGAGGTCAGGAGTTCGAGATCAGCCTGGCCAACATGGTGAAACCCTATCTCTACTAAAAATATCAAAATTAACTGGGCATGGTGGCGCACACCTGTAATCCCAGTTATTCAGGAGTCTGAGGCAGGAGAATTGCTTGAGCCTGGGAGGGAGAGGTTGCAGTAAGCCAAGATTGTACCACTGCACTCCAGCCTGGGTGGCAGAGTGAGACTCAGACTCAAAAAAAAAAAAAAAAAAGAATTAGGTAGACCCACGTTAAGTACTCAATGCCTGCCTTGTGGAGAGGACGAGGGATCCCCATCACACACCACACACATACACACACCCCACATACATCATACACACACCACACACCCCCCACAACACACAACACACTACACATTGCATACACACACTCATATCACACACATCACACAACATACTACATACACCACAAACACACAACACATACATACCACACCACACACAAACCACAAAACATACCATACTCACACATCACATCCCACACAACACACATATACCACAAAGCACATTACACACACCACACACATCAGATACACTTCACACAGCCTACTGCACATGCACACACCACATATACATGCCACACACACCGCACACACACACACACACACAGCACACATGCACGTGGAGCCTCTGCACAAAGACCTCTTTAACCAAGTGCGTATTTCCCACTCCACTCTCTCTAAGCATGGAGGAAAGTGCTCACACCTAAAAAGGGTTTCCTTGTGGTGAAGGAGCAAAGAAAGTTCCTGCTGCCCCAGGACTCTCTAGAAAGTCTGGCAGAGGTAATGGCTCTGGGCAGAGGTGTCAGAAAAAACAAACAGCATTTCCCTCTGGCCTGCGGGACCCTCTCGGAGCCCGCAGCCCCCGCTCCGCCCGCAGCCCCCAGCCCTCGTTGCCATGGAGAGCGGCCTGCGCACACAGGCCGGCGCCCCTCATCCTCCTGCTGGCTCTCCGCGGGCGGCTTTGTCAGGGCTCAGCGCGTCCCTGCAGCTGCTGGGAGAGGAGGAGACTGGGCGGCTGCCTGTGGGTGCCGCGGATCGTCGGGGCGGGCCAGGGAGGCGGGACCCTCCGCAGAACCCCAGGGCTTCATTCTTGGGCTAATTGGCTCGGGAAGCACAACCAGGTCCTCCAGATCGCCAAGGAGACCCCAGCCTCCTGTGGCGCGCTGTGACCGTCCGCCCCGGGGCTCCTCTGGAAGTGGCTCGGCAAGCACAGAGTTTGCCAGTGTGGGGCTGGGGGAGCCTCTGCGTTCCTGTTTGCTTTGTAAATGATTTTCATCCCCAGAGGAAGGCGGTGAGTAGGTTACATTGGAAAAGGTGGAGATTTTCGCTTGTTTCAGGTGGCTTTGAGATACTATGTGGGGTCATTTTTCTGGGTGTCCGGGACTGAGCAGGGCTTCTTCAGGGGGCGGGCTGGCGGGACCCTTCCGCAGGAGGAGATGTCTGTCTGGTGTGTGGTTTTATGAGGTGTTTCTTTTCATTTTTTTTCTTTGAAACGGGAGTCTTGCTCTGTCGCCCAGGCTGGAGTGCAGTGGCGGGATCTCAGCTCACTGCAACCCCCGCCTCCCGGGTTCAAGTGATTCTTCTGCCTCAGCCTCCCGAGTAGCTGGGATTACAGGCGTGCGCCACCACACCTGGCTAACTTCTGTATTTTTTAATAGAGACGGGGTTTCACCACATTGGCCAGGCTGCTCTTGAACTCCTGACCTCATTATCTGCCTGCCTCAGCCTCCCAAAGTGTTGGGATTACAGGCTGAGCCACTGCTCCCGGCCGGATGAGAGGTTTTAATTAGCTCTCTGCCCCCTCCTGAGCACAGCCCAGTCGAGTCTGAACTGAAGAAGACCACCTTGGCAGTCCTCAAGGTGGGTCCTGGGGCCCCTGGCTCTGGAACTGGTTTCTCCAGGATACCTACTGAATAAGGACTTTAGGCTGGACTGTGACGAGATCTGTTTTATATCTGGATTTCTCCATCCTTGCCCATTCTTCCCATTTCTTTTCAAATGAATGGGAAAGGAAAATAGTCTGTTTGAAAAAAGGAACACATGCCATCCTGGGTGGTTCCCATGGCAACAGGACCCCTTGTCAGATGCCAGGATTGTCTTTTCTTTTTGTTGCTTTACTCTTGCCACTCGGCATTTCCCCTAAGTGTCACCTCTTGTAAGGGAGAAAATAAAACCAGGGTGAAACAGGGTGCCTTGGCGATGCTAGGCGGAAGTTTGACGTTCATTAAGACAACTGAGTCTTCCAATAGACAGGAGCAGAAAGAGGCAGCAAGGCCGGCTGTGCCCCTTTTGTGGTTCGTGCCTCTGGTCTTTGGGGATCCAGGTCGTCCTGGCTCTTTGACTGCGTGTTTCCTATGCTCTGTGTCCGTGAATCAGGACAGTTAGAATGTTGTCATTTTTGGGGATGGCTGGGAAATACAGGTATCATTGCCTAAAATCAGTTTGAAGTGTAAACGATGAGTGTGTGTTTTGCATCTATGTACGTGTGTGCACAGGATTTAATGTTGTGAACTATTAGGATGACAGCAAACCCCGGCCTCAGTGAGGCTGACCCTCTTTTTCATATTGTGTGGAAAAGTTAAACATTTCTCAGCAGCAGAGAAACCTGGCTATGTTCTGGCTGCTGCCCATGGCTCTTCTTCCCAGGCCCTTGTGTTGGGGCAGCGGGTGGTCAGCTGAAGGCCAGCTGGCTTTGGACACAACGCCTCCTCTGTGTTGTACCCAGGGTCCCAACTCACTCACTGAGAGTCAGTGGCTCACACCATCTGTTCTGGGGTTGGGCTGTGTCCCAAGTGCCCCTCCTCATCCTCAGACCTCAGGACTCAGTAGGCAGAGGTTGGGCTGGGGCTGGAGGCCTCAGTTTCCTTATCTGCAAAGTGAGGGTTATGACAGCTCATCCCTTGGGCCTTTAGGTGGGCTCCTAGAGGACTGCAGGCTTCTCCAAGCCCATCATCGTCCTGGCTTTGCTCTGGTAACCACAGACAGGGGGTCACACAGGGCACATCCTTTTGTCACCATGGAGCATACATGCTGAGGGACCCCTGGAAAGGGGAACAAGTGTGGAAGGAAATCTGGCCCCATCCTGTGGATCAGTGCCTCGGTTTTCCCATCTGTAAATGGGGTCATGTGTCACCCATTGGCGGCTTGCTGTTGGGTGAAAGATCCGAGGACTGCATTTGCGCTGTATGTAATCTGTACAGAAATCTCTCATCCTCCACAGCGTCTGGCAAGCGCCTGCCGGTCCACTCCGGCTATGGGGGAGATGAGGGCCCATTTCCCCATCATTCCTGTGCACTCCTTCCCAAGCTCATGAGCACCAGTGCTGACTCAGTTCTGCAGCGTCAGGTCAGCCTTGGGTGTCCGCATTCACCACGACATCCCAAGGAAGGGGTGCCCAGAGAGCTGTGTGTGGGATCCTCAGGGACAGGATGGGTTTGAGGGGTAGGCATGGCTCCACAGTCTCAGGTTGCCCATGGCCACCAGGCAGCGGCTCTTGGCCCTGAGTATATCTGTGTGGCCCAAGAAGAGGTGAGGTGCTTGTGTGTGCAGAATGGAGAAAGACTCAGGCTTTCTCCATAGCACCTCTGTCCGAGTGCTGGTGAGGGGTGGAGCTTCCTCCTCTCACCACAACCCACTAAGGAGCCTAGCAGGGAGCTATCCTGCTGCCCAAGGAGCTCTGTGCCCACCGGCAGGGACTCAACTACCAACCAACTAACCAACAGCTGACCAGCTAACCAACCAACGAATTCATCAGCTCCCTTCCTCCTTTCTGTTTTCTCCTTTTCCTCCTACCCCCTTTTCCTCGCTCCCTTCCTCCCTCCTTTCTTTCCTTCCTCTTTTTTTTTTTCTTTTTCTCCTCCCTTCCTCTGTTCACCTGTCATTCCAGGAAGGATCTGATTCAGCATAGAGGGCGAAGGATAAGAAGAAGTAGATGAATAAAAAGTAAAAGCAGGTTGGATTTGCCAGACAGAACTTGTCATGGGGATGGTAAAGTCCCAGGATGCTGGGAGGCTCTGGCCCCATGCAGCTTGGCGGTCCCTGCTCACAGAAGCCGGGACTCTTCCGTGCGGATTCTGGACTTGGACCAACACTCCCGGGTTCCTGACTGAGGGTGGGGAAAGAAGAGGGCAGGAGGGGTTAATTCAAGGCTGGCAAATGTAGCTCAAGTCCCTTTTATCCCCTGATAGGGTCCTCATGAGCTGTGGAGGCTGTGGTGGTCTGTGGCTACAGCACCTGGTGACATTTGGTCTAAATAATTAAATCTAGGGCTGGGCGAGGTGGCTCATGCCTGTAATCCCAGCATTTTGGGAGGCCAATGCGGGCAGATCACGAGGTCGGGAGATCAAGATCATCCTGGCCAACTTGGTGAAACCCCGTCTCTACTAAAATACAAAAAGAATTAGCCGGGCATGGTGGCACGTGCTTGTAGTCCCAGCTATACAGGAGGCTGAGGCAGGGGAATCGCTTGAACCAGGCGATGGAGGATGCAGTGAGCCGAGATCATGCCACTACGCTACGGCCTAGGTGGCAGAACAAGACTCTGTCTCAAAAAAAAAAAAAAAAGAGAATTAAATCCAGATGCAAATGAGTCCACCTTGGAGGGATCTGTGGATGACAGCCCCTAAGTGACCTGGGGTTGGCTAGGGACAGAGTGCTGCCCTCTCTGCCTGGGCAGCTGGAAATGGAGCAAGGGCCCTTGTTGTGCCACATCCCCTGAGTGCTGACGAAGAGAAGGGCAGCAGATGCAGCCCCGTTCAGCGCTGGAGATTCACTTCTCCCTGAGATCTGGCTGCCCCCGACCTGCCTGGGCCCTGAGGAGAATGAGGAGAGGCGAGGGTGCCTAGGAGAAAGGCCGTAGAGGTGGAGGGAGCCCTGCAGGCTGAGGGTTGTGGCCAGGGGCTGCCGAGACCCCAGGCTGCTCTGGGGTTCCGCTCTAGGTCTTGTGTGTTCGTGAGGGAATTCCAACAGGCCTTTTAGAAATTCAGCCGTGGGGTTTTTAGAAGGAAAATGGTATATAGCATACTAATATGCACTTGTTGAATAAATGCATGAAGAAGGCCTTTTATTTTTCTGATAACTGATATCCAGTAATTCTAAGTGTTCCTGCTTGTCTTCTCTGGGTAAATTATTTTGCTTCTCAGAATATGCCAGCTAGACACAACCCATTAGGTAGAATTTTTTGTTGACATTGTAACTTCCTAAAATAAAGTCATGTAGCCGAGCAGGATGGCTCATGTCTGTAATCCCAGCACTTTGAGAGGCCGAGGTGGGTGGATGGTTTGAGCCCAGGAATTCGAGACCAGCCTGGGCAACATGGCGAAACCCTTCTCTACGAAAAATACAAAAATAAGCCAGGTGTGGTGGCATGTGCCTGTAGTCCCAGCTACTCGGGAAACTGAGGTGGGAGGATAGCTTGAGCCGAGTTTGAGGCTGCAGTGAGCCGTGATTGTGCCACTGCACTCCAGCCTGGGTGACGAGTGAGACCCTGTCTCAAACAAATTAATTAATTAAAGTTGTGTAGATTTTGCCATATGTGGGGTTGTGTCTGATCACTCTTACGTTCTTGGTCCTTGAAACACCAGTGCCCGAAGGATTCATATAGCTGCAGAGGTGGTAAACTGAATGAATAAACCTGCTGGCCTTTGACCATGCAAAGTAGATGCAGAGTAGGCTTGGGGGGATCCCAGTCAGTAGATCCTGACTTTACAGCTGCAGAGAGGATGCTCTTGTCCCCCAGTTCCAGGGCAGACAAAATCTGAGGGTCTAGGATCTTCAGTGGGAAAAGGGCCATCTGGCACTTTGACCCTCTCCCTGATCTTCTTTTTAAACAAGTTCCAGAAAAATTTGTCTGCAAAACAAACTGTGCTGCATAAGGAATAATTCATTGCCATAATTCAGCTCATATGTGGCGGCAAAGTGGGTGACCAGACCACAACTCTGTTTATTTTCAAGTATGCAAAGGAGATATACACATATCGTTGTTGAAAATCAAAATGTTTTAAAGCTGAAGCCCCCTCACCCCCGATCCATCCTCTACCCTCCAATCCTATGGCCCTCCTTAACTTGTGAAGGTTGAGCAAGTGTGGCTCAAACCTCTCCCTCCTCCTCTCTCTTCCTCCCTCCCTCCCTTCTTTCTCTTTGTCCTTCTTTGTTTCTTTCCTTCCCTTTTCCCTTCCTTCCTTCCTTCCTTCTTTCCTTTTTTTTCTCCCTTAAGATAGTGTTGCTGGGATCACCCTTAGGTGCCTCTAATTCTAACCTTTCTGGTTACTTCCTCCCCCAGGTCCCCTAGCT